AGGCAAGCTTTGGTCTGGGAGAACAGTGTAGACTTCATTTGTGTGCAACGTGGGGTAGGCAAGAATAATGTAACATGAAAATTGGAGGCAAGTTTTCAAACCCTGATGTAGCGCCTTTTAAAAAAACGGCGAAGTTGCCATGCAAAAGACACGAAAGAAGTTAAGGGCGCGGTCATGCATTCCAGCTATACAAATTTACACAAAAGGGATTCATGGGGTTTAGTCAATTTAGAGCGGGCCAAAACGAAGCCACAGCCATTGGCGCGAACAGACACAGGAAAGAGAGCAATCCGTCAGTTGTTATTTCATTGATTTTGAGTAAATTTTAGCTTACAAGTGCTGTGGTACATGTATAGGCAACCCGGAGCGTTGCTCCGGGAGGATACACAGGTCGGCGAATAGTTTCATGAACGATGATAACGGATAACAATCGAGTAAATCCCAAAGTTGTGTTGTTATTAATCCTTTTAAGGATTTTAAAAGAGCACTATCAGCTGAACTCTCTAGTTGATTCTAACGTGGGCATCTACTGCGCCTGCTTCGCAGCTGCAGCATCTGCCCGGGAATAACACCTTGGTCAGCGTCCAATGGCTGCGCTGACGCCAGCAACGAGAGAGCTATTTCATTCAGTTTGCAGGTAAGGTATACTGTGCTCATTCAGTACTATGTTGTTTGCTAACGATCAGACGAGAGAGCTAGCGGAATGAAGGAGAGATGCATGGTGCGCTGGTCTTGACGTTTTAACTTGAGGGTAAATTGCGGAAGGAGAAATACGTTAATGTGCCAAGTCCTTGGAAGTGGGCACTTCAACGCAGGTAAAGGAAGCCTAATTCAAACGAACGATGCTCCTGTCACTGTCGAGTTGAGCTGGTTGGTTTGGCGAGAGACACGAGGTTGGGCATCTTCGGCTAAGCGATTGAGTATTGAGCAAATTGACATGTAAAAAATGCAGCCTGCAGCTAGACAAGTCATATTGGTCATCTTCAGCTAAGCTTGGTCGATTATGGCGCAAATTGATACGCCTTCAGCGAGGCCATGACGCTCTCATAGTGTACTGGAGCGTCCGTAAGTGTTTGAACGCAGGTTTTTGGTCAAGAATGAACGATTAGTATCAACCTTTGGTAAATAATGTGTATAAATTTTAACGGGTACCCGATTCCGGCAGATATTACCTTAAACATTACAATTAAGAAAGAGAGACCCGGTTTGGTACCCGGTTTTGGAAAGTTACAAGTTTTTTGCCGGGGCCAAGCACAGGTCTTCGACTTGTGAACATTTTAAAATTCCAGCAGCGACTCTGGAGTACTGTAACACATTATTGTGTACCATGTGTACACATGCACATACGGTAGCAGCTGTACCTTTTAATTGTGACAAAATTTCTTGAAGCAGGTACATGTACATCTAAGGTGCATTTCACGCAATCTCTGTTGACTATTTTGGCTGAGCCATCTGGCGGACAATCATATGTATGTGGTTATCATCTGACCTTCAATTGACATTATCGCGAGCGCAGCGTTGCTCCGATCTCCTAACTTCGGAACTTCATTGCAAACGTGTAGAGTCGCACACACAATATTCTACATGTAGTTGTTGGTCGCATACTTCTTCCTCAAAACATGTTCGTCTTGCTGCAACAAGTAAATGTGTGAAATTACAATCCTACGTCACTGTCACTACGATGGTAATCTTTGATGGCCGAGGTCTGAGAAACTGCATTGTTTGGTATATATGTAGACTAGCGCCGCTACGCGGCGGAAGGTTTTGTGGTTTAGTCGTAGTAGTTAGGGCCGCGCACCTCCGCTTCGCTCCGGTGGGCTTTTATCCACTTCAAAAGGTTTGAATTTCGTTGTGTGTAGGTAAAAAAAGGTTGAAAGTACTATCAGTAGAGTGACGTTTGCTTCGTAAATATTCCACCGTTAGACCTACATCAGGGTGTCTATAAGTAGTTGCATGTTGCAAGGTTAAACATTCTATTTTGTACGGTACTCTGTTGTAAATTGGGTCCACATACACACAATTAGTTAATACGACTACAATGTCGCCATTGTTGTAAACGTAGTTGAAATAAGCATTAACATGAGCTACTACTTGCTGTGGCGGGGTAGATATTGCTATCGATGGTGTGGTCAGCAAAGTCACCATAGTTTCTGTTATTTGGTCCGTAGGCTATGCCATTTAGTAAGTACAGCCTGTAATCAGGCTATAAGCCCAGATAATCAAAGTATGCGCTTCGCTGTTCCTGTACTTAGCATTACATTAAGTGCTTGTGATCTTATATAAATACCGAGTATACATCATCGTTTTAGTATTTCGTATGTTCCGCCAAAACGTAGCTGCGGGCTGCGCTAACTACTGCGTGGTCTACTTCAAAACTCATTGTTTTAGACGTGGCAATGGTTTATTATTCTACTACGCGGCGAACATTACCATTTAAGTGTACCACCTGCATTACAGTAGGTAAGATATAGAGAGTTCGCACTCGTAACTATATAGTTATAAAGTCACGTTTGCCCTTTGTTAATTCGGTTTCCTGCATGTATATCCGCCCCATAACACGGTTAGAAAAGGAATCCCAGCGTAAACTATAATAAAAGGCTTCCACTCAGTGAATATTATCTACTACCCCATTAACGCATTCTCCTAACGCAAAGATATACGAAACGCGTTTAAGCAAGCGTAGCTAAATATCCCCCCAAGATGAACGCAGAGCGCCGCTGTAGCTATAAGAGTAAACGTAGCGGAAGGCGTGCACGAGATTATTACTAACATGAACAGCATACTTTTACTGTAATACTTTAGGGATGGATATATAGCACTGTTATCACTTACAACGTTGCTGCTATCGCTTACTACGTGCTGCTATAGCTTTCTACGTGCTGCTATCACGTTCATGTCGCTTACTACGTGCTGCTAGCGCTTAACTATGCCGTCCTATCGCTGACTACGTGCTGCTATAACTATCTATACGCTTCTATAGCTTACTATGTGTTTGTATTGAGCCAACATTGCTATTGTACTACAGTAAATAGCATGGTAGGTCCACCTATCGCTACAGTAGCTAAGGGATTGAAAGTAAGAAGTTCTTACCCCGTAACTATGCGTTTGCGCTATGCTAATTTCGTTTCCTGCATGTATATCGGTCCAATAACATGGTAGAGAAGGAATTTCTACGTGAACTATAATAAAAAGCCCCAGATCAGTGAATGTCAGAATATCCTTAAAAAAGATACGAAACACGTTCAAGCAAGTGTAGCTAAATATTCCCCCAAGATGAACACAGAGCGCCGCTGTAGCTATAATACGTAAGTATGTACATTCCTAAATAATTACAGTAAAAATATGCTATGCGTGTCAGTGAACGCCTTCCTCTATATGTACGCGCACTGCTGTCGCTTACTATGCGCTTCTATCGCTTACTATCAGCTGCTATCGCCTACTCTCCGCCGCTATCGCTAACTTATGCACTACTATCGCTCACTACCATACCAATTATCGTAGCATGTGTTTATATGAAGCAAACCTCGCTAGAGCGCTATTATACTAAGTGGTGGGGTGCCCGACCCCAGCGACAGCTGCTACTACTCGGTGGGCCCATTTTAATTAATAGCTGGTGTTCCAAAAAGTATTAGGCCAAGCGTCGCAGCGGCGGTAATGCAATCGTCCATGTTCCGCTCGCCTCGTCGGCTCGCTGCACTACTCACCATGTTATTAGTACATACTTGTAGGGCGGGCCCTGCGGCCCGCTAGAACGCACGCGGGTGCCGCCTTCGCTGCGCTCGGCAGCTTGTAATGGGGCGTCCAAGGCTGTCTATGTATGATTATGTGGACCACCCGAATTTTGTCGCCATGCGCGACACACGGACACACGGAAGCACACACGGACAGATCTCTCTGATAGTTGTTGTAGACTAGCCGAGCGCCGCCGCTAAGCGGCGGTGATTTTTTTGTTTCTAGCCGAGCGCCGTCGCTACGCGGCGGATAGAATTTATATTTTTGTTAGTTGTTATGCACCCGTTCCGCTCGCCTCGTCGGCTCGCTGCACTACTCGCTATGTTAGGTTAGTAACACCGAGGCTGGGGCGGGTCCTGCGGCCCCGCAATATCCTATTGGGGGGCCGCCTTCGCTGCGCTCGGCAGCCTAGGTACGATTATGTGGACCACCTTATTATGCTGTCACGGGCTTCACACGGACTTACGGACACACGTGCAGATCTCTGTCTTAGATGTTTGGAGAGAAGAGATATTTGGTTCTAGCTTTCGACTGTCTTTGTTGATGCTGTACATTGGTTTGGTCTTTCATGATTATTCATGCGTCCTTGCCATCAACGCTGACTTTGGCACTGTGGAGCACCAGACTGCAATAATATTGTGTGATTATATGTTATGATGCAGCAATTGCTATGGTGACAAATCGCGAAGTGTATCCCATGGGGAAATGAGTCGCCACTCAGCCAGCACAACCAGACCTACGGTTGCCATACACCGCAGAGGCCGTGTGTTACAAACTTCGTACCGCACATTCACGTCATCAATGCAAACTGCAGCAAGCCAGACCTTCGTTTTTTCTCGGATGGCAAATTCCTAGGCCCAAGACGAGTTGTGTCGCTCATTCTGCAATTCTTCCACCCCGAAGCGAATCACCAACTTCAGAGGACGATGAAGTCTTTTCATATCGTGTGCGTCGCTCTGGCTGCTGTAGCTTCGGCACACGCCCAGAGCCAAACCAACTCGAAAGCGCAGTACATCGACTTTTCGAACCTGAAAGAGTACACCAAGTCGCCCATTGCTCAACTCGACCCGACGCAAGGGACTGTGCGGCCCGACCCCAGAGTGACCGAAGCTCCAACGCCTGCTCCAACAACGCCCGCCCCAACGCCAGCTCCAACACAAGCTCCAACTGAAGCTCCAACTGAAGCTCCAACTGAAGCTCCAATTCCAGCCCCAACTCCAGCCCCCACGCCCGCTCCAACGCCAGCTCCCACTCCCGCGCCCACGCCGGATCCGGGTCCGTGGACGGCCGTGTGGATTCCCCACGACAAGGTGCAGCCGTTCGCTCAGCCGGAGCCTGTCACGATTTCCGAGAAGGCCGGAGTCAAGTTCAAACCGCAAATTCGCATCATAAATGGATGCCACCCGTACCCTGCGGTGAACGAAGCCGGAGAGACGAGTGGAGGTCTCAAAACTACAGGCGGCCACAATTCAAAGAGCAAGCGATCTGGCTGGAACTCGCAAGTGTACGGTCGCTCCACGTGGTTCCGAGGCGTCTGGGCCATCATGTACTCGTGGTATTTCCCCAAGGACTCGCCTTCCCATGGTCTGGGCCACCGCCACGACTGGGAGCACGTCATTGTGTGGATCGACAACCCGGACGCGTCCGAGCCAAAGATCTTGGCGGTGACCCCGTCAGCTCACGGTGACTACCAGAAGTATGCCCCTCCGAACGCTAACACCGTGGATGGTACAAGTGCAAAGGTGGTCTACGAGAGCCACTGGCCGATGAACCACGAGTTGAGTGTGACGTCAGATAGTGGGGAGTTCCAAGACTTGATCATGTGGAGCCAGATGTCGGAGAACGCTCGCCGCGCATTTAACTCGGTCAGTTTTGGGAAAGCCAACACGCCCATGAACGACTGGGGCTTCGAGGACAGACTGGGGAAAGCGTGGCCTTTCCAATGAGCACCTGATTGCGTTGCCTGTAGGTTAGTTTGAGCCGGTTTACTGTTAGTTGAAATACCGACCAAAACTCGAGTCAAATCCCAGTTTTGTCGACACATTTCGGCTTGAAATGTGTCGACGGCTATTTTTGTGATTTGGAATCCTACTAATGCGTACTCCGCCACCCAAGCCTGCCTGCACAGGTGTTGCACATAGGTAATTTATTTCTGAGGTATTATCTGTGCTGAATGAGTACATAGTTGGCTCACGAGGTGCGCAAATCTATCGAGCCGCTCACTCAGGACTTCAGATGTGAGGGTGGGAGAGTTCTGAAGTGGCACACACCACGAGTACACTTTTGTGAGCGCAAAGTATGCTAACAGAGGCTCAAAATGTGTTCGGATTCATTTATCTCTGCATGGGTACGTTTTATCGCGGATACCAATGGTTTTCTGGGCTGTACTTCTTCGACAACGAGACATAGTTCTTCTTGTAAGAGTATATAACTAATCAAGCGCTCGTAAAAGCGTTTCAAAAGTGACCATTAATTTTTTTCGTAACCATTAACGTTGCTCTTTTGATAACGTTGCTCTCGCAGTAACGTTGCCCTTCGATCACATCGCCCATTAACTTTCTTCGAGGTAAGTTGTTGGTGACAGTATTGCACGGCAGCAAACCCTACTGATAAATCAAGTAACATACCAGGTCCACGTCGCTGGTTAGAACATTATGATATTGTGAGTGTACGGATACTTTCATTATGCATTCAATGCTGTACCATCGTGCATTGACTAGTTTAAAATTATTCTCTTACAAACTAGTTGACCTCTTCTCAGAAAATCTGGAATAATAGTAGACGCTGAAGTTCCGCGTCTACTACGGAAGTTCCGCGTCTATTGTATAAAGTCGTGTCAGAATCTATAAAATAAAACTATTAGGTGCACGTCTATTACCTTCGGTTACTATTCAGTTATACTCTCATTGCCCCCCCCCCGTCTTAGTACATCCGCCAGATTATCAATGACTACATTGCCAGGTTGCGTGTACTTCACCTACAATAAATAGGCTTCAATATATTAACAGTATGAAGTGTAAAAGGCTTAGTACGATCGTCAATCGCGTATCATAATTGTTAGGTAAAACCAGTTAACGTTGCGCAAGAACTATTAAAGCTCGTAGCTAAAGGGTTAACGTCGCTGTAAAATTTGGAACTTAAGCAGCGTAAGACTTGAATTGCTGCCTGTTGCTTAGCCGATAAACCATAGCTGTTCATGCTTATATTTTACGTATTACTGTGTACAATAACTACCACACATCGACACATGCAACAAATGGACGTAGAATCTATTATCAAACTCATCTAGGGTAACATTATCGAAGTGATGCATAAATGTATCGTCACAGTTAATCTACCAGAAGGGTCGCAGGTTCCAGCCGACATGTCCATGCTAAGCGTTAAACAGATTCCTCATCAGTTGTGTGCTGTAATTTAACTGGGCGTCCCTTCATGAATGCACATGACAGGTCGGAAACCTGTGATTTCGGCGAATTTAACTCTTCAATAAGAGGAACATCGCCGTTGAGACCGACATGGATAGAAAGCCCTGCATCTAGTTTGGGTAATGCCGCTGTATGAAGCGCTAAATGTATGTAGATATCGAGCGATTTATCCTCAAAGTTGGCGTTACCTGGCGCCTCTGCGATGTTTCTTACCGTTATTTATGCAGCATAAAAAAATTATATGTATTTGTGTGACCTTTCAGGTAGGGGTGAAAGATCGCGCATTACTAGCGACAAGATGACTGACAAATAGTAAGGGGGGAATGCACATCATGTCCTCGTTTCCGAACGGGACAAGAAAAGGAGAAGCCACTTTGGCATTACTCCTTTGATGGACATATTAGTAGATATGCAAAGTTTCAGCATCCCTAGACTCGCCAGGAAAACCCGAATTTATTATTTTCCCGAGATTCCCGTACATTGTTGAAGGGGCGTCCAGTTAATAGCAGTAGATTGCGATCTTGTTCTAAATCATACGGTATACATCGCTGTTTTCTTAAAAATGGACTCAATATATTTATAGGCATAGTATGCAGATGCGTGATCCTGCCTCCATATAATATGCTTCATATACTACGCGCTGGCTAAGTCACCGTAGTGCTATCCTCTCTCATTATTGTAAAGTACTTTGCTAAGTTTTATAGCGATCATGTAATGGCGGATGCGTCTGACCCAGGTAATACAATTGAATAGTTTGGCGGTTGATAACTATAAGTACGCCTTGGGGAAGGCATTGTACCCTTTGAACACTAGCTTTATATAAGAACAGAGGGAGTAGGACAAATCACATTAACGGGCAATGTTAACGTGCAACGCTAAAAATAAAGCAACGTTATCTTGGATTAACGTTAATGCGCAACGCTAAACATAACGCAACGTTATCTTGGAGCAACGTTAATGCGCAACGCTAATCATAATGCAACGTTAGTACTCGGCGATATTTCGTATAATGTCGACCTCATTCGATTAAACCTAAGCGCTAGGGCGCAAATGCATCGCGAACGTTTAGAACGACAATCGTATAGGTGTACAGAAATTACAGAACATAATTACAAGCAACGCGAAGCAGCAGCCATTATGTCAGGGACCTGGACAATGATAGTGGTTTGGTAACATCGGTACTCTGCTAGATGTGGGCTTCCCTCTCGGCCCGCACGTCCTTATCGTCCCGCGGCGCGCAGCTTGAAGCTGAATACCAACGTCAAAACAACATAGAGACATAATATTAATGAAGCAGTGTTATCAATCATAGAGCAACATTAGCAGACAATAGAGCGCAGAGCAACGTTACCTTTAGTATTCGCGGGAGGGGGGGGGGGGGGCAAACTCTCGCAGCTTGACCATCTCCGATGCCAATGCGTTCAGCTTGCCCGTACAAGGCATCCTGCCGCTTTTGCCGCCTCCTTAACAGCCTTAATACATTACCAAATAAACAATAACAAATTACCAAAGTTAATGTACATATACCAAGCAACATAATGCACACCTGTAAGAAGCAAGGTCAAACTTACGTAATTCGTGAAGTCGCTTGGCTTGCCCCACCCTTTAACAGCGGGCGCGTAGGGCTATCGTAATGTTTCCAGGAGGTGGCTGCGCGGTAGATTCTCGCTCTTTCCTAAAGTACAGCTTCTTTCCGTTTAAGTTCGAAATTAATCGAGGTAAACCCTCACTTCAAATGGGTATTTAATACTGAGGGAAAATCCGGCCTGAATGAGGGATTTGGTTGTCACGTATTTTACGCGTCATTTATTTTTTGGGCGACGTTATTCTTGTTATTGCAACGTTATTGACTGAGGTTAGGGCTAGTTAACGTCGGAGGACCCCGTCATTGATCTTGCTGGACCTTGAACTTCCAATCAAAACACAACCGCCAAAGTGGTGTTTCCGGCTTCTAAATGCAAATGCTATGGTGGCTACCCAGCCATAGAGTTTTATCATACCAAATTATTTTAACATTCATTTGCTGGGAGCACACCGTTTTAGCTTGCCAAGGTGCCTCGCAAGCCACTTCTCCTAATTAATGTAAAGCGCGGGACAACTTTCTTCACAGGAACGACTTTGAAGAGGCTCGCAGGTGAAATCTGTATCTGAGAAGACGAAGTTCGAGAGGCTCTGGTTAGACTGCCTCAACAACTACCTGCTGATGAAGAAGGTGAAGAGGGCCAAGCCCAATAAGGTCGCAAAGCGCGAGACAATCAACCATTATACAACCCGACTCATCATGATACGAAGCCTTGAGCAACTTCGATTTCAATACAATCGATTGGAAATCGCAATTAATTACAGCAAACATCACTCCAAAGTTCTGGATCCATTTATCACCTCAAGTATCGTGCACCTCTTGGAATCGATCGCTATTCCTAAGGATATCGATCTCCTTGGGGCATGCCTCCCGCAGCGCCGGCAACATATCGGCGTGCGCCATCTGCCGCACGAGCTCTCGCTGCGCGTTGAAATACAGGAAAAAGCGTATTGGACAAGTCATCCTCAGTCCGATCACTCGAGATAACAGCATCTCGTCCCCAGCAGCGTGCGGGAACAGCGCCATCGCGAGGTGGTGCATGAAGGGAAACGTGAACTGGCCTGCCACCTCGATCATACAGCCGCCAGCTCCACAGACTCGGCGGATTGCAGCTGCCTCCCCGCCGCTCTCTTCGTCCTCCGCGAACACCGCTTGCATGCTCGAAATGACGCCTGAGAAGTGCGCCTTGTCCAGTCGAGTGACGAACTCGTAGACGCCATCCCGAGTCACCGCACCCCGTGCCGACCCGCCCCGACTCTTAATGGTGCGTGACACCCTGCACTCTGGAGCCGCCGTGTTGTTCTCCTTGACCCCGCGTATCATGGCCTCGACCGTCTTCAGCAGCTCGTTCTCCATGCGCATCCGAGTCAGCAGCAGCCGCGTCACCTGCAGATCGCGGAACTCCAGCAGCCGCATCACTTCCTGCCGGAGGTTGTTGATGTCCAGCGTGAGGTTGAACACGCACGACTCGAAGGCCTCGTGGTCGCGACGGTGCCGCTTCTGCGCCGCGCTCATGTAGTAGTGCTTCTTGCGCTTCTTGTCGGGCACTACGGCGAACTTGACGGGACCGGGGACGCATTTCATCGAGGCCTTGGACGCTGCCCCGGTATCTAGCGGCTTGGACAAGCCACCGGCAGCGAGATGTTTCGCGCAGTTGGCTCCTGGCGGGTCTCTGCGAATGGCTACGGCCTCGCGCGTTGGAGGAGACCACAGCAGGTCGGCGATCTTCATGTGTGGGAGCTGGTAGACGAGGGCGACGCGAGTGTCTTGGCGCTAATTCCAGAGTGGCGAAGGGAGAAGTCCAGACCTTGGACGAGAGAGTACGGCACCCTTTGACACGTCTTTGCAGACGAAGGGTCTCATGCCAGTGCGCTGGTAATAATCGGCGCCAAGTGGAGAGCACTCTTGGCTCGCTTTCGTCATCTGCACCAGGAACCCGCGCTTGGCTGTCTCGAGACTGCGAGTTCAGTCGTCGCGAGCGCGTCGGCCTGGAAAACACGGGGCTGGAAGAGCAACCGCTAACTTAGTGGCGCTAAGCTCTGTGGTTAGTGGCGGCTGGCGCTAAGGTCGGCAACTCTACAGATCCTCTGGTTCATTGCGATCACCGCTGTCATCGGCAATCCTTGCAGGCAGTCAAGGCACAGCGGAGCATCAACATCGCAGGCGGAGAAGGGAGCACCTTGGAGATCGCAACATCTGCTTTCGCTCGCTTTCGTTGAACTCGCGTCACCCGAGCGAGCTGGTCCCGCGCATGGACCGCGGATCGAAAGGCAAGGCCGGCAGAGAGGCGAGGCCGCTTGAGCAGCAATACATGTAGCGCTGCAACCAAGTTGGTTACCAACCTGCATGCCACGCCCCAAGCACTCGGCGTTCGGCATTCGGCGCGCTGAAGTTGCCCGCGCATAGAGCGGTCGACTAGCGCCGCCGAGCCACGTTCATGACAGCGGCCTTGTCAAACCTTCCTGTCGGCCGATTCCGCCAGCGGGAGCATTGCAGCGGCGGGGCGAAGTGCCTGGCGGACAACGTACCTGTCGGTGGCAGCTTGTGTATTACAACCACCGAATTTTGTTGATGTCAACCAAACGTAGTAGTCTTGCTAAGACGTATTGTAGTATACAATCACTACAACAATCTTAGTCAGCGAAAATAGTATAGTAGTCGTAGTAGTAATAGTAAAGTAAATAATAGCGAGAGAGAGAAAGGTAGTCTATTTAACGTTTGTTATTAGCTTCCTTGCATAATCTCAGTCGGTTTATTAGCGCCATCTCATATCTCATTTAGGTGGAGCTATGGTGCCCGAGGTGGGCTGGATTCCACTGGTCGGGGGGGGGCTTCGCTGTGCATTGCGTCGAAGCAGTCAATGCTGAGCGCTAGATATAGTCCTTGAATTCTTGAAGCTGGGCGTCCGTTTTCGTTCTTCGCCACTGCACGCAGTTGGCGAAGACACGTAGCCCGCATACTTTCAACCTGCCGTTGTGCCGTCCATTGGGCTCCTTCGTGTACTACCTGGTGCAGCGTACATCCAATGCTGCATAGTGCCCACCATATCCGTCTAAGAGACTCCTCGGGCTCCTGATCCCAATGTCCGTACATCGCTGTTAGTCGACACTGGATTCTATCACTGACTGGCGGCGCCTGCCGGGCAGAGAGATAATTCTTGTAGTTGGCCAGGTGCCGTGGCGTCACCTCGCAGCCTTGCCAGTGTTGCAGCACCTTCGTCCAATACGCTTGTGATCTTCTGCATAACCACGCTATATGATAGAAAATGCCCCCCATACGCAGTTGCTGTCAAGGGGGCATCCGTGCGTATGTTGCAGATCGGCATAGTACAGGTTCAATTGTTGCGTTGCCATCCTGTACATGACCCACACGATAGTCCGTAAGAATGTTAGTAAAGTAAAGAATAGCGAATTTACACACATAGGTTAGTATAATTTTAATAACCTGGATATTAACTAAACAATATTACTGAATCATAATAATATTATGACCCACTACTACTTTAAATATCAATATATCACTTGAGCAATACGTTTTGTCGGGGACTGCAGCCACGTGAATGTCCCATGTCGCACTTAATCGAATACCTGTCGCGGATTGGCTGGCCTTGGTGGCGCGTCACGGCTGGGATCCACGGCCCACCTGACGGACGTGATCACTCGGCCATTCCGCAAAACACCAAGCGACCGCCGAAGCTACAGTACCCGCACGGCCTGCTCGGCGATGGACATGGAGAACAGCCTGCTCACGCGGCTCGCGGCCAATGGCCCCACGCTCAGCGACGCGCCCATGCTGCTGATGGCGCTGGTGGTGGTGCTGGCGCTCTCGGGCGTCGTCTCGCAGCAGCGCCTGGCGCGCGACATCGCCGAAGAGGACAAGACGCGGCAGCCGCGCAAGCTCACGCGCAAGCTGTCCAACATCGGGCTCTCGACGCTCGTGACGGAGGTGCCGACCAACCTGTCCATCCCCGTGTCCGTGCTCACCGTGGAGGGCCGCATGACCAAGGAGGACTACGTGGGGCGCCTGCGCGCGCGCCTGCTGCACGACGCCTTCTTCCAGCGCTGGCGCAGCGTCGTGCGCGGCGACTACCAGACGGGCGTCTACAAGTACGTGGAGCTGCCCGACTACGACGTGGCGCAGAACGTGGTGGAGCACACGGTCGAGGAGGGCGAGACCACCATGTCGTACGTCGAGTCGGCGCTGGTCAACTCGCCGCTGGACTTCGACAAGCCGCTCTGGGAGATGCACGTGATCCACGACCCCAAGGGCAACCCGGGCGTCACGAGCGTCGGCTGGAAGGTGCACCACTGCCTGGGCGACGGCGCGTCGCTGGCCACGGCCATGGCCAAGCTCAGCGACCAGAGCGAGCTGTTCGACGCCATGCTGGAGAAGCGCGCGCAGGCCAAGAAGAACCCCAAGGCCAAGAAGCCCAGCAAGCCCCTGTCTCAGACGTTCAAGGACATCCTGATCTTCCTGTACGTGTGCATCTGGTCCCTGTACGTGATCTCCTCGCACATGCTGGCGCTAGTGTTCCGCCGCGAGCCGGCCACGGTCTTCAAGCGCCCCGGAGGCAAGCACAAGCGCCTGTCCTACAACATGATCTACTCGGTCAAGACCACCAAGGCAGTGGGCAAGCACTTCCGCGCTACGGTGAACGACGTGATGCTCAACGTGGTGGCCGGCGCCATGCGCAAGACGATGCTGGCTGTGGGCGACTCGGTGGCTCCGACGCTCAAGGTGCGCTGCGCCATCCCCGTGGACATGCGCTCCGCCACGGAGGTCATCCGCCACACGAGCAACCGCTTCTCGTCGCTGGTGATCGACCTCCCAGTGGGCATTGAGGACTCGGCCGAGCGTCTGCACAAGGTCACGGGTGCCATGAACGAGGCCAAGAACTCGCTGGAGAAGTTCTTCGTCTACTGGTCGAGCCACGTGGTGTCCATGCTCCCGGCGCCGCTCATGCGTGCGATCGTGCACTTCACCACTGACCGCATCTCCGTGGCCGTCACCAACGTCCGTGCGAGCGTGGTGGAAATGAGCTTGTGCAAGAGCCAGGTGTCGGGCTTCTACGGCTTCGTGCCCCCGCCGCCGTACGTGAACCTTGGAGTGGCCATCCTGTCCATGGGCGACAATCTCGGCCTGAACGTGCTTGTGGACCCGTGCGTCGGCGTCAACGCCAAGCAATTCTTGGAGTTCGCGAAGGAAGAGTTCACTGCGCTCCAGGAATCTGTGGCCGCGTTGGAGGCCAATGCTGGAGAAGACAAGAAGACCAAGTAAGGTACGTATGATGACGCTTGTCGCTGCATATCCAGTCACCAGGCTCAAGGGGTTTGCTACTGTTGTTTATCTACTCAAGCAGACCGCGCTGTTAAAAATGAAACGTAATGTAGAATGCTAATTGCTTCATCATGCCTCGCTACCTTATTCGAGCAGGTTGTTCGCTATTCCTGGTCTTGTTGAAGCCCTCGTGGCTTTGCAACTCGAGTATTTTGAAGCAGGATCCGTTGCCAAGGTTGTCGGTGGGTGGATTGCCCACGGCAAGCTCAGCCTGCCGTTGTCATTGTCAATTCGACTGCAATAGCGCAAAGCGACCTCAAGAAAAACTCCTCGATTCCAGTTATGGAGACGGCTCAAGTCACTGAAGTGCAACCGCAGCCTGTCGACGTCGTCGAGCCCGTGATCAATGACAAGCTCACCGAGAACGCGACTGAGGTGGTTGCCACCCATCCAGACAACAACAACAACGACCACGCAGAATCGAGCAATCCCGCGGACAGTGTGAAGGCTGCTGAGCCCGAGTTGGTTCCGACCGAAGAGAACCGTCCCGCTGACATTCCTGTCACCGCAAGAACCAACAACGGTGGCGATACCACGCCTGCAGTAGTGCCTAAGCGCCCTGCTTCTTCTCCTCATTTGAGTCATGCATCCGAAGGGGGCGCAGAAGTTGTGACTCCTGCCGGCACGGTCGAGGCACCTCTTTGCGCCAGTAATCCTCCAATTGAAGTTGTTGAGAAGGAAGCCGCCGTCCCTGCGGTCATAGCAAGTGAGCCTGCACCTGTGGATCCTATTGTGGAGGCTGATACGAAGGCCACCGAGCCGAGTGTGGAGGAAACCGTTGAGCAAAACCACGTGGAACACAAGACTGAGCCAGCGATCGAGCGTGCAGTGGAGCAGCGCGAAGTCGTTACCCCAGTGGTATCGGCCCCGGTAGTAAGCGAAGTTGCGTCGATACCCGAACCAGCCACAACTGTCACCACCTCGACTGTAGAATCTATCCCAACCGAAGCACCGGCACCTTCTCCAGGAAAGAAAGCCAAGAAACAGGTAAGAAAGGCACATCTTTCTTTTGCGAGTTGACAACGTGGTTTCTCACCTAAGAGTTCGTATTTTTGTTCTTGGCAGAATGAGTCCTTTGTCAGCGAGGAAGTGCTGGCGGAAGTGCAAAAGTTTCTCACGCATCAGGTTTGTTCGAGTGCATACAAACTTCAAATTTTGTGGGCAGCTATTGTGAATGTGAATTGTGGTGAAGTTGGTTTTCACTCACGTTTCCCTCTCTTTCGACATGCTTTAGATTACCGAGAACAAATGCAGCTCGAACAGTCAAGAGATTCACGAATGTAAGTCTACCCCCTCCTCGTTGTCTTCCTGTAGGTGCAGTGAGCTGACATCGACTATTTTCTGTAGTTGTGGAGAAGCACCTCAATGAAAAGCGGCGTAAGCGCTATGTCGCTCCGCTGTTGGAACGGATCGTGCAGCACTTTACGCAGGAGGCCACTGCAAAGGGTGAAGGGGTTTCAGTGGACGTGCAGTCGAATATCTGCCTCATCGAGCAAATGTTCCTCACTCTTGGAAGACGCTCGCCTCTGCAAGACATGTACACAGCAGAAGAAGAGGAGATGCTAGACCTGCTCTTCCACAGCAACAGCAGCGACAACCTCCCGATCGGTATTTAAACGCAGCGCAATTGAATGCAATGCAAGAAAAATATGAAATGGCTCATACCCGAATCTTCCGTCCCCCTTATCAATACACTCCCTCTCGTACGTTGCTCACAGCGTCTCGCATTGCTCAGCGGGGACTATTCGCACGACCTTGCCGATTCCTTTGGCTTGGCCGTCGCGGAACACGAAGCGCATCCCCTTCTTTAAGAACTCGGGCGCATGGATGAACCGGAAGCGCACGAGTGCTCGGTCCCCTGTGCGGATGACGTCCTGGTTCGATTCGATCGAGATGATCTCAGCGGTCTGTCGGATCGTTCGACAGTTGACCATCGGCTGGTAGCCGACGGTGACGGTGGTCTGGTGGTGCAGGATCACGACACGGGCCTCGAACACTCGAGAGACGTAGTCGTCGACCTTGATTTCCGGGCTCAGCAGAATCATTCCTTTGCGGAAAGTCGCTCGACTCAGCGCGAACTTCTTGTTAACCGACCGGACCGAAAGCGCCGCAGTTTGCCCCGGCACAAGCTCCTTCAGGGGCATGTACATGGACTCCATGGAGCGCACGGTAACCTTGTGGAAGTGTCCGTTGTAGTCGGGTCCGATCTGCAGCGCGTCGTTCACCTTGAAGCTTCCGGTCACCAACGTGCCTGCAAGGATGAACCCCACGCCTGGGACCTGGTACGTCTCGTCGATGGGCATTTCAACCACGTCGGCCACCGCTATTGCCTTCTTCTTCGTCTCCCCCGCAGCGGCTGGTGTTGCAACCGCGATACTTTCCTCCTGGTTGATCGACTTGGTCGTAGCCAGCGTCGAGGCAGACAGCCCCGCCTTGAACAACGCCGACGGCGACGTCTCGTACAGTATCCGGCGGAGGTTCTCCAGGCCGTCGCCCGTGACGTTAGAAATCGGCAGAATGGGCGTGATGCGGTTCGACGGAATGCCCTTGGCTGCCGTCACGGCCTGCTCCGTCGTCTTCACGAGCATCGCCATCTTCCCGTCTAGCAAAGCACAACACACAACGTAAGTAAGTCTCCAATATCCACCCACCACATTCTTCAACACTCTCTCACAGCGTCGTAAGGCCTGGCGAACTGTCGCGAGCGTCTCTTTGGCCACGTTCTTGGGGGCAATGTCGATCTTGGTCAGGGCCACAACGATAGGAATCTCCAGCTAACACCAACCCAAGTCAGTACATGCAACTTCAACCTGCACTCACTCAAATACAGGGCCGTCCACTCACTGCGACGGCGATGGCCAGGTGCTCCTTGGTCATGCGCTTGACGCCCATGTTGGCGCCCACGACGACCACGACGACGTCCGGCTGCATGCCGGTGAGGCCGAAGACCGTCGTCTTGAGGTACTTCTCGTGGCCCGCGAGGTCGATGAGCTGGATGCGCTTGTGCGCCATCTTGGCCAGCTCGGCCCATGGGATGAGCTTGCCCGCGCGCCTGGACAGGATCTGCTCGCCGCGCGCGTCGAAGCCCAGGTAGGCAGTGGCCACGCTACTGGTGCGGCCCGACTCGGCCTCGTGCTTGTGACGGAAGATGGCCTGGCGCGACGAGCCGCGGCCGTCGTCCAGGTCGCCCTTGATCAGCGTGCCGATGAGGCTCGACTTGCCGCTGTCCACGTTGCCCACGAAGGCCAGCCGCAGCGTGTCCCGGCGTGCGGCCTCTTCGTCTTGGCCCTCGGACGCGTCGGTTGGCTGGGCCTCGGCCTTAGTCTTGGCCCCGGCCTCAGTCTTGGCCTCGTCCTGGTTGGAGAGCTGCAGGCCGCTCTTGAGGGCGTCGGCCACGTCGTTGGAGCTCCGGCCGCTCCTTCGCTCTTGGACTTCCATGGCGGATTGCGGAGTGGACGTGGAGGCGAGTGGGGCCTTGGGACGTAGCGCGGAGGGATGACGAGCGGCCTTCTTCGGCGCTTTTGTGCGGCTTTTGGAATGGCCGGACCCGCGTCGCCCACCCCGTCGAATCTGATATCGTGAGTGTTGGTAATAATTCGTGGGTTGAAGTTGCCTTTGAGCTCACATGTACATGTACGCTAGCTGCCAGCAGCACAGGAAAAAGAGTGTGGCTAGCGGGAGTATGGGGGGGGGCTATTTACAGCTGGAGCCGGCAACCTTCACTCACTCGTGAGCGCGATCGTGGCTGTGCTGTACGACGAAAACCCACCGCGGATGGTACGAGGGGTGCAGGCGGGTTTACTTTTTCCGTCCATACCATCTCGCCATCGCGCCGCTCCTGACCGCCAGTAAAGAAAAGGCCTACTGGCCCAGTCGATAAGTCGCGCACAGGTTTGCTACGGAAGGCAACGGCCCAGACAGGTAGGCATCCTGTGTGAAAAGCGACTGACTCTCGGTGATGATTCGTTCATTATTATAACGAAGTGTTCTTAGATCGGCTGTAAACTATCGACACTTTTTTTTAAAAAGCGCTTAAAAGCGCTTCCATTGACACTGAATATACTCAACAGCACTACCCTCCCGCGGCGCCGCACGCTAAGTTTGCTTGTTAAAACTCACGAACCGACGGAACATCGTTGATGGTCACGCGATTTCCAGCAGGGCGCACCTTGTTACCACGTTTCACCTTTTCCACTTTGGTCGCCTTGCGCTGGTACTTGTTGAGGTAGTCGAGCAACAACTTGTCGAAGTGCGGGTTGTTGCGCAGGTTCATGTTTTCTCGAATGTTGGCGATGCTCTGCTTGTGCGAGTCCCATTTCTTGAACATTTTTAGTTTGTACGCTTCGTTGTCCATCATCTTGGACAGCTTGGTCATATCAAAGTCGTTCCTTGCAAGAAAGTTCCTGACCATGTCGATAAGCCACGCTCTTTCCTCGTCCTCGTCATCTGCGGCATCAATGTTGGCCCCGTTGCTTCGCAGAAGCCTCCGATCACCGAGACCTCTATCGATCGTGGTTGGAGTCAATTTCACCTGATTGCTGGTCGTCACTGCGTCGCATGCCGTAATGAACGCGGCTAAAGCCACGAGTAGAACGCACCCCAGACGCATCGTACCTTCCAGTATATTGAAGCGTGCGTGTTCGACAGCGAGTTGCGAAGTGGAAGGCCCGGTGGACCTAGTGGGCTAGATAGCAAGCACAACACATCTCAATTATTATTTCGACGGGCTATTGTAGACCTATACAATCAGCAGGTCGCCAACAAGATGAACGCTAACGATCATCCTCGCACGTATAAGGTGAAGCAACTATTGTCGACTGTCCAGGCAGAAACTACGTCGACACGAAAGAAAAACTACACAGATCGCGGCGTGGGATCGCTGCTGGACGGCTATCAGTCCGAGGCTCAATTCACTCAGATTTGTGATACTTTTTTCGTTTTGGATGATCTCATGGGGAGGGCTGCGTTTTTGGTATCGCATTTTGGCTTACTACGAGGCGAAACCATTCGTGATCTGGAGCTGTGTGACGGGGCACACAGCACTTCTTAACAGAGGAAGCAGGAGTATACAAACTCCAAGTGAACAGCCGTTCACGTGTCCCTGGTCTGAAGGGGACGGCTTGACTTGAAAAGCGGTAGATTTAAGACTGAATGTGTTTATAGGTTGGTACAGATTTGGCCTGCATACAATTCTTAAGTTCCCTATAGTTTGTGTCATACAAAATGTATCTGTTGGCTCTGAGGCCACTTGGGTCACTATCCAGGGGAGTGACCGATGTAGCCATCCCGGAATAGTGACAGGGTCACTATTCCATGTAACCCCGTTACATCCTCCCCCACTTAGATTCGATCTTATCGACCAATCAGAGCGAGGTTACGCCGGCGACTCACATTTCACTCGCAAAGTCGAAATCCATCGACAACGGCGCGAGCTCTGGCGCATCGGCCCCCGGGCCTCACAGAGCAACTGGCGCATCGCCGAGCAAGCCGCAGGGTCTCCACGTCGACCGGAAGCATGCCTCCAAAGCGCAGTGCGCGCAGTGCGAAAGCACCTCCGAAACCGCAAGCCGTAGGGCCGAAGACCAGGGCGGCCAAGGCCAAGGACGAGTCGTCCGCGCTGATGGAGGCCACGAAGGCGGCCGAGGAGGTGGTGCGCTCTCGTAGCAGCACGCCGGAGAGTGGCCGTTAGGCCGGGGCTCGGAGCAAGTCTCCTGACGCCGCGCAAGGCAAGGAGGAGAGTCCTCGGGGCCATAAAAGCCCGGCTCGCGACTGGGAAGCCGCCGTCTTTGACTGCACGATGGTCCAGTACTCCGGTGAGAGTTCACCCGACGACGAGAACGTCTCGGAGGGCAGCACGCACGCTGCCGAAGGCACGGAGCTGGCGGCAGGCGACATGACCAACGCCTCGGCCGACGCAAAGGCCTCGTCAGAGAAGGATGCGGAGGACGCCGAGTCCGGCTCAGGCGACAGCAAGCAGTCGCACGACGAAGTCGCCATGGCCGACGCTGGGGTCGTGGCCGAGAAGTCGCCGAGCGACGCGGGCTCCAAGCCCAAGGAGGTGCTGGCACAAGGTCGTGAGCGTGCCCAAGCGTCGAAAGCGGCTGCCGCTGCGAAGGCCGCCGAGGCCAAGGCGAAGAAGCGTTCAGCTTCCAGGTCGCCTCGCGGCTCCAGCTCCAAGCTGTTCATCGACTCGGAGTCTGAGGACGAGGAGGGTGCCGTCCACGAGCCCAAGGAGCTCTCCAACAACCTCGACGAGCAGCAGCAGCAATACCACGCTGCTAGCTCGGGTGCGTATGCCAGGCAGCCGACTGCCACGACTGCCATCGAGTCTTCTTCAGGCGGGGATGCCACGTACCCGCAGGGCTACTTCCCGCCCGAGCCTGGCACTGGTGCGTCAGCGCTGTTGGAGAAGCTCTCGGCTCCTCGTGGCCTTATCGGCGGGTACACCTCGAGGGGTTCCTATGAGCGTGCTCTTGTTGAGAAAGAGCCACTCTTTCTTGGCGACGTTGAAGTCGCCCGGTGTGTGCTACTAGCACCACACAAGCTCACACTGAAGGAGTTCACCACGCTTCGCAAGAAGCCGAAGGACAAGGGTGGACTCCATCCTGTGTGGGGTTTCCACTGGGTCAAGCCGAATGACAACATGACCTGGAGCGAGGTGGAAGACCTCTTCTGGCGCTACGTCCAGCGCAAAGGGTATTCCGACCAAGAGTTCAAAGAGCTCCGTGAGGATCGCACTCTGTCCGCTATCCTGGACCCGCGAGCTCCGCATCGAGTTCGCTCAATACGTGAGCTAGCGCATGCTCCGCCCGAAGATGACCGAGCTGAAGCAAGAGGCGAGAGCCAAAGCTCGTGAAGAGCGAGGGCGTGGTGCGACTACGTCTGCTACCGTGCCCCGGGTACCGGCCAAGAAGCCAAGGACTACTTACGAAGCTGCCGCTGCTTCTCGTCCCATATCGCAACAGCCTTCGGGCAGTCTGCCTGGAGCTGCTCAACGGGCTCCCACGAGTTATCCGACTCAGGGTAACCCCTCCACTTCACGAGCAGCTGGCGCTTGCGATGGAGCCGCCGCTCCCGGACGACTCGTTCCACGTGGTAGTGGATCTGCCCATTACGATCAAGGAGGGCCGGCGGTGGCCTCGCACGGCCATGGCTACGAGTCTGAGGCGGCGCAGCCGTATGCTGGGGCCCCGAGTTAGGTGGTGGCCCTGCAGCAAGAGGAGATTCGTCTTCTCCGGGACCGTGTGTACGTCCTCGAGATCGCGCTTGGTGTCGGTCTTGGTGGCGAGGCTGCCGCTCGTGCTGGTTAGCCTGGTGCCGTGGAGCGGCTCCGTGAGAATGTTGCCTCGCTCTATCAAGAAACTCGCAGTCTCCATGGCCGTGTGGATCGTCGAGCCGACCTGTCGTCTTACGACTCCCTGCGAAACCAGCTCGGGCCGAGCTTCATGACCACGCGCCGTATCCGGAGCAGCAGCAGCCCCACTCGTATCAGGCCCAGTTTGGCCAGGGCTCGTACGGGGCCCCTGCGTATGCTGCTCCGATGTACGCCGCGCCGTCTTACGACCAGCGCGCGTATCAGGCGCCTTACCGCGACTCGACGCCGCGCTCCGAGGAGCTGCGCTCTTCTCCACCGGGCCACCCACCGCTTCCTGCGGGGCAGCCAGAGCCAGAGGGTCATGGTACCTCTTAACACGACCCACGTAAAACGTCGGGTGAGTCGTCATCGACTTGGGCAAGTCTATGGTGTACGCCGCGCCATGCCGGCTGAGGACCGTGAAGGGTCCAATGAAGCGGTGCTTCAGCTTGTTGCTCTCGACCGAGCTAACAGTGTTTAGCGGTAGGTTTCTAGTATCTAGGAGAACTATATCCCCAACCTTAAACACGTTCATGTTTCCTCTTCCATTTCGGTCAGAGTACTCCTTCTGTTTATCTTGGGCTTGCGCCATGGTGTCTCGCACCCTGCTGATTATGTTCAGACTGTCTTCGGCAAACGAGGACAGTTGCTTCCGCAAGGTGGCTGGACTCACGTCCGAGAGTTGGGAGGAAAAGGTTTTCCGAGCCTCTCCCCCACTTAGGACCGAAGCCCCGGTACTGCCTCGTAATGTGAGTGGCACCTGAGGGTGGCGAAACCCGTTCAGGTAAAAGGGCGTAAAGCCCGTCGATGCATGTACCGCATTGTTGAGTGCGGACTCAACCATGGGCAAGCGATCAGCCCAAGAGCGGGGCATCTCCGCACCGATACTGCAGAGCGTGTCTTCGAGCACGCGATTGACGCGCTCCGTCTGGCCATCCGTCTGCGGGTGGTCCGCCGTCGACATCGACAGTCGTGGGCCGAGAAGGCGAAACAGCGTCTGCCAGAACGTAGCGGTGAACCGCGGGTCTCGATCAGAGACAATGGTCTCGGGCAAACCGTGGTGTCGGAAGACACAGTCCATGAACAGGCGAGCGACCTCGTCGCCAGTGACGGTGTCACGAACTGGAGCAATGTGGACCATCTTGTTCAGACGGCACACGAAGGCAACAACACCAGTGTTGCCACGGTCATCGGCCGGAAGTCCAAAGACAAAGTCGAGACTCATCGACTTCCAGCAGCCCGCTGGGACCAGCAGGCTCTGCAATGGTGCCGAGGCGTGACCGGCAGGCCTCACGCGCTGGTACGTCTCGCACGTACGGACGTAGGTGGCGACCCACTTGTACATGTGACGCCACCAAAACATCTGCGAGACAGACGCGTACGTCTTCTCACGGCCGAGATGGCCACTGGATGGAGCGTCGTGCGCCTCCATCAGGATGTCGTACTTGAGATCCTAGTCGTTGGGCACGACAATACGGGGAGGATCCTCGGGCTCGACCCTATAGTGGAGCAAACCGTCAACCCACTCATAGCGGTGCAGCCTTGCACGTTGTCGGGGCGTGAGCCACTCGGCCTTGGCTTCGGAGCCAGCGGCCAAGAACCGCACAAGAGGTCCGAGACTGGCATCGTCTCGGTACCCCAGCCTGATGCGATCATACAGATCCGTCGTGACCCGACTAATATGAGCAAGCTCGTAGTCGGGTCGGCGCGACAGCGCGTCGGCAAGCACGTTCAACTTGCCCGGCTTGTACTCGACACGGAAGTTGTATTCCGCGAAGAATGACAGCCAACGCGCCATCCGCTGTGAGAGATGCGGTGTGTTGACGGCAGTCCGCAAGGACGCGTGGTCTGTATAAACGACAAAGGGCGTCGAGCCCAGGAGGTGCACTCGGAACTTGACAAGAGCGTACTTCATGGCAAGTAGCTCCTTGTCGTGGACTGGATAGTTCCGTTCGGCTGCCTTGAGCTGCCTGGACTGGAACGAGATGGCCCGTTCGCGGCCTTCATCGTCGGCCTGCAATAGCGCACAGCCAATTGCGTAGTCAGACGCATCACAGACTACGCTGAAAGGCTTCGTCTCGTCCGGCAATACCAGGACTGGCGCGCGCTGTAAGCTCGCTTTGATGTCGTTAAAAGCATCTTGATGGCGACGCTCCCAGCGCCAGTCGACATCCTTCTTCAGGAGATCCGACAAGGGCCGTGCCAGCTCGGCGTAGCCTGCACTATATAGTTGGCGAGGCCCAACCACTGTCGTAGGTCCTTCTGCGACCGAGGTGGCGGCCAAGCCGCGATGGTTTTCACCTTCTCCGGGACCACCCGGGCCCCGGCGCTGCTGACGAAGCAGCCCAGGACCTTGATCTCCTCAGCTGTGAACACACACTTGTCGATGTTGGCGTACAGCTTGTTCGCCCGCATGACTTCGAACACACGTCGAAGGTGCTGGAGATCACCTCCATGGCCGTCTGGCCTGCCTCGGCACGGCTGTGGACGAAGATGCCGTCAAAGTACGACTGTGTGAACGCACGCAAAGGTCGGAACAGTTGTGTGACCAAGCGATTGAACGTTGCCGGGGCGTTAGAAGGCCCCTGAGGCATGACCAGCCACTCCCAGAGCTTACCGCTCGGCGTGCTCACAGCCGTGAGTGGGATGTCGCTCTCGCGCATCAGGATCTGGTAGTATCCGTCCACCAGGTCCAGCGCGCTATACAGCGTGCAGCCGGCCATGTTGTTGAGCAACACGTCCTTGCGCGGGATCGGTGTCTGCGCAGGCACTGTCGCGCTGTTCAGCTTGTTATAAGCATGAACCAGACGCCACATTCCGTTCGGTTAGCGAACACAGAAGGTAGGCGTCGAGTGCGGGGACTTCGACTCCCCACCATGCCTGCCTTCGCCTTGGCGGCAAAGAAGGCATCAATGACTTCACACTGCTCCCGGGGAAGAGGCCATTGCCTCGTGACACAGTACTTCGTGCCCGGCACGAGATCGATCTCGTGCCTGATTCCCCTGTCCGGAGGGAGATTGGACGGTGGATCCTTGGACACCACGTCCTCAAACTCCTTCACCAAGGGGTACACCGGATCCCGGGGGTTCTTAAGAATCTCAGAGCCCATGCGCGATGCGCGCTGTCTCTGGAACTCCTCCAGGACTGCCTGGTAAATGGCCGAGGACGAGTTCAACTCGGCCGACGTGGACTCCGGTCGGAGAACCAACTCTGCGATCTCCCCGGCCTTTAGCTCGGCCAAGTAGTCCTCCATGGCGAGCTCCTCAAGGTTCAGCAACTCTGAAACCTCGGGCAGAGCTGTAAGCTCGACAGCTCCTGTCTTGACCCGACGACCGGTCACGCCGTCGAAGATGTGATAACACTCTACGGCGGCTGGAGCCTTGGCTGGAGGCTCGGAGTCGCTGGCGACTGGCGTCGTCGGCCACACGACTAGGCCCGGCTTACGACGTGACCCTCGGGTATCTTCGTCTCGTGGCGCCGCCTTGACGGCACCACCGATCTTCTCGATCTCGTGCGGAACTACGTTACCCGCCTTGTCCTTGAGCGGAACTTGGTTACCCGCCTTGTTCTTGAGCGGAACTTGGTTACCCGCCTTGCTGGGTGGAACTATGTTACCCACCTCGCCGTGTGGAACTTGGTTACCCACACCAGGAGCGCTTCCAGCGGCTCCCGCATCAGTTATGGTCTGAGTGACCTCCTGTGGGCCTATGTTACCCACATCAGAAGCGCCTGCAGTGCCTTCCTCATCAGTTACGGTCTGAGTGACCGCGCGTGGAACATGGTTACCTACGCCAACGCCAGCGGCGCCTTCTCCAGCAGCCCTTGCTGCCTGCGGTACTTCGTTACCCGCGTGTAGACCTACGTTACCCACCTGGTAGGTGCTGTCCGGCACCTCCACTCTCAGGCCTTGTCCGGCCCGGTCGGAGTCGTCGTCAGTCTCGACGGACCCCAAGAACTCATTAGACGCTGCTGCGCCCTGGCGGCCCTCGCGGGCGCCCCAGCTGCTACCAGAGGTGGGAACATGACTCACCAAAGCTCTGTCAGAGCGTGGGGGATGGCTGGACCCGATGGCCTTGCCGCGCCAGTCGATCCAAGGCTCGTGTTTCTCCAGCCACGGCATGCCAAGGATCAAGTCGTACTTGTCCATGTCTAGGACCAAGAACGGCTCCGTGCTGTCGAAGTCCTCTAACTTACCAGTGAGGTCCCTGTGGACCCGAGGTACTTCTACCACCGTACCGTCGGCCAGTCTTACCGAGACCAGTCCGTTGCCTTTGCTGCCTCGTAGCGCATCGGCGTACTTGTCCCGATTGCGTGCGACAGTCTGGCGGCGCGCAAAGTTGTTGGACGCCCCAGAGTCCATCAAGATTCTCAAGGGATGATCGTATCCCGGTACACTCGCGTGCACCACAAGCAGCCCACCGCTGCCCTTCCCCGCTTCGAGAGTACAGAGACTCTCAGGGGCTAAGTCCCCATGGCGTGCGCCACCCGCACGCCCCTCATGA